CAGAAACTAAGGCAAAAACAAAAATTTTACCATTAAAATATTATACTTAACTGTTTCCCTATCAAGGACAATTCCTTCCTACCCATCACCTCTCCCAACTTCTCCAAATATCTAGGTGCTGATTACTGCGCTATTGATCTGTGTCATTATAATCCTCAATTACTTATATTTAACTTTAATAACAGAAATCTACTCATTCCATACATAAGCATAATAAGAAAAGAAATCTAGAAAGAAATACTTTTGGAGTACTATCAGGTACTAAAAAATATATTGCAAAAGTAAAAAAACCGAAGTTACTTTTTTCTTTTTATCTGTTTTGTTTTTCTGTGAGTCCAGAATCTGAATGAACAACACAGCCACCTCTTTCTCAAGGGAGTGACCTTAAGTATCAATTTGAATAATCTATTAAAATGATTATACTAAAAACACTGTTAGCATACAGTATACTAAACAGTTTAAACTGTTTAGTATAAACTGTTTTTAGTATATAGTATACTAAAACTAACACTATATATTAATTATTGTTTAGTATAACAACATTTTATACTAAAAATGTTGTTTTCCAGTAAAAAAAATATGGAACACCTTTTATATTTAATTTTGCAAAATATTTTGAGGCCAGGTCTTCCCATTAAAGAAATATTACTGGAAGCTTCTTGGTAAGAGTTAGATGGTATATATAAATGCTAATCTAAGTTTAGAAAAATGGTCTCAAATATCCTTCTATTCTTCAGTTGATACCTATCCCTTTTTAAATTACATCACCTACACCATTTTATGTAAAGATTTTTTACTCTGGTAATAACAACAGTGCTTTATTAAGAACATTAGTAAAATAGGGGGTTTAAAAATGGCTATGAGTAGAAACAGTAAGAAATAAAACAATGAATGATAACTTGAATAACTACTATATTTGGCATGGAGGTAGTTTAGTTCAAAAATAACTCTAAAATGCTAATTAATATGTTCCTTTTGGAAAGAAGTATGGAGATCACTTAGGAATCTAAAAATAGACCTGCCATTCGATCCTTCAATTCCCCTACTAGGTATATATCCAGAAGACCAAAAATCACTTTATAACAAAGATATTTGTACCAGAATGTTTATGGCAGCCCAATTCATAATTGCTAAGTCAAGGAAGAAGCCCAAGTGCCCATAGACACATGAACAGATCAATAAATTGTGGGATATGTACACCATGGAATATTATACAGCCTTTAAAAAAGATGGAGACTTTACCTCTTTCATGTTTACATGGATGGAGCTGGAACATATTCTTCTTAGCAAAGTATCTCAAGAATGGAAGAAAAAG